TGGGTAACCTTCTTCCTAAGGTTATCTCTAAGGAGCAGGGGGGTTTTGTCAAAGGGAGGTCCATAAATGAACAAGTACTTCTAGCCCATGAGATGCTGCATGGTATTAACCATAACACAAGAGGGGGAAACCTGGTCCTAAAACTAGACATGTCTAAGGCCTTTGACAGAGTTTCCTGGGAATACCTATTGTCAATACTAGACAGATTTGGTTTTGACAAAAGATTCCAACTTCTCATTCATAACCTTCTACAAGCCACTCTTCTCTCCATCTCCATCAATGGACATAATACTAAACCGTTCAGACCAGGGAGGGGACTTAAACAAGGAGACCCCCTCTCCCCTCTTTTGTTTATCATAGCTGCTGAAGGATTTAGCAGAACTCTCAATGCCTACATGCAATCTGGAAAACTTGAGCCCTACAAGATGGGAAGAAATCACATGAATATCCATCATCTAGCCTATGCTGATGACCTCATCATCTTCCTGAATGGGGGGAAGCAAAATCTGACCAGATTCAGGTCTTTTCTTAAACACTATGAGGAAACCTCAGGACAGACAGTCAATCTACAGAAATGCAATTTCTACAGCCCCTGTAAAACCCCCTTACATGTCTCCCTCATGCAACAAAACACACTAGGCATGAAAAAAGGAACCCTTCCTTTCAAATACCTAGGTGTCCAGATACACAGGGGGATCAACAGGAAGCAATACTGCACACCCCTCCTACAGCATTTTGAGAAAAAACTCAGTGGATGGGACAAAAGTTTACTTAACCAAAGTGGTAAAGTGATCCTAATCAAGCATGTACTAAGCTACATCCCCATCTATACTCTTGGATCCACACAACTCCCAAAAAGCATCATCCATATCCTTCACATGAAGATGTCTAACTTCCTTTGGGGGGAACTAAAGATAAACACAACTACCATTTGATGGAATGGGAAAAGATCTGCTACCCTAAGGAAGAAGGAGGATTGGGACTCACTTCCCTCATCACACTACAGGAAGCTTATGGTCTTAAGATGTGGTGGAACTACATAAAAAATGACTCACTTTGGGCAGCCTACATGAGAACCAGATATCCAAGAGGAATCAACATTCATCCCCAGGCAATTGATTCACCCACATGGAGAAGACTTTGCTCAATTAATGAA